CACTGGGACACGGGGACGATCCGACACGGGGACGATCCGGCACTGGGACACGGGGAAGATCCGGCACTGGGACAGGGGGACGGTCCGGCACTGGGACATGGGGAAGATCCGGCACTGGGACATGGGGAAGGTCCGGCACTGGGACAGGGAGAAGGTCCGGCACTGGGACATGGGGAAGGTCCGGCACTGGGACATGGGGAAGGTCCGGCACTGGGACATGGGGAAGGTCCGGCACTGGGACATGGGGAAGGTCCAGCACTGTATATAGCTTCCTGAAAGCATGACAGCACCCTGCCTCTGTACGTCTCTTAAAAGCTCTTAGCCCTGATGCAAGCAGTGGGCGGGCTCTTGGGAGGAGTTATGCAAATGTCAAAATGCCTTGATGTGCAGATGTAAGTCTGGAGCAATGGGTGTCCCTAGACAGGTTGCATTTGCATGCATGTGATGCTGCGCCTCCGTGTTTGATAGACCTGAAGTCTAATGAATGAAAGAGGCGGGGCCAGGGACAGTCAGGCTGGGGAGGAAAGGGCTAGATGATGCAGCCAGCAAATGCAGCTTCTAATGCACATTGTGAGGAGCTTGCAGTGTGCAGTGAAATCAGAGGAAGCCATTTTAGTCCAGGAGAGGAGGCGGTACAACTGTACAAGGGAGGACGGAGGTCAGATAGAAGACTGGAGGGAAGGACGAAGGTCAGATAGAAGACTGAAGGGGAGGACGGAGGTCAGATAGAAGACTGGAGGGAAGGACGAAGGTCAGATAGAAGACTGAAGGGGAGGACGGAGGTCAGATAGAAGACTGAAGGAAAGGACGAAGGTCAGATAGAAGACTGAAGGGAAGGCCGGAGTTCCCCTTTAAGTTCTCTAGGTTGATGAACCCGGCAGCCTCTGCAGGTGCTGAGTCCTTTTCGGCCTCGGGGGCCATTCACATATTTTGGCCTCTCGTCCCTCCACAAGGCCGGGGACCGGGTCAAGGGCAAGAATGGCGTTTTTTTTGCCTTGGGCCGGGCAGCCCCCCCCCCCCCCCCCCCCCCGCCCCCC